ATTATAAAATACACCACAGAAAATATTATCAAGTTGATGTAAAATAAAATGAAGTCTATTTATTGCTACATTTATTTATATTTTATTAGTCTATATCGAATACTAAATTTTAAAAATGTTTAATGTATCAATACTTCACTAATGATTTATTATTATTATTCCATCATTACAAGTAAAAATATATGAAGAACATTATTGTATATATGAAAAAAAATCTATGTCTAAATTTGAGTAAAATATAAATTTGAGATACTTTAAACATATTAAATGGATTCGATTAAATGAGGCAATTCTTTCGAGAACAAACGATAGTTAAAGTATACTTTGTCCTCGAAAGAATAAAGCCATTTAATCAAATTGAATCAACAACGAATTCGACGACATCGTAACATTGTTAATTTAATTTAATATAATGTAATACAATAATTTTAGGAATAATTATTATATTTCTTATTTTACTTTTATTTTTTCTTTTTCCTTTTCAATTAAGATTTTAAAATGATACTAAACAAATATTAAGATCAAATTTCCATGACGAATTTTGACAAACTCTTTATTTGATGATTTTAAATTTTCTTTCCTGGAAAGGATTAAGTGTGCTTGTTATAATCAATTTAATGTTTCGCCATACGTAGAAATTGCTTGTCTGAAGAAACTGTTTTCTCATCAAGAATTTATTTTTACGAAGTAATTCTTACTGTTCTTCATAATGATCCAGAATCGATGATGATGGTTATAAATAAATTTTGTTCTGATTCACTTTCAGACACGACAGTTGGCACGATCATATCAGAAATTTAGAATTAATTATTTATTTGTTGATTGTATGCAATTACCTACCTGTAAAAATAAATGAATAATGAAATAGTATAGGAATTTCTAAAAAATATTAAATAATTTTACAAATTCTACTAAAAATTATAGTTATGAATTTTATAAAATATAAAACATGTTAATAGAGAAATTAAATAAAGTAACAAAATACATTAAGCTAATTTTGTAAATTAATTTTTAATATATATTTATCATTTCGTAAAAAGAAGGCTATTTTTTTATAAAATATTTTTTATTTGTTGTCAACATTAGCTTTGTAAAATTATTTTTGAAATCCTACAATTTCTTGATTATTTTTAAAAATTACACTTTATGAAATAAAACCAACATGGTAATAGTTTTAATCATGGATTATAATTAATTAAAAAAACAAAAATAATAACGATACCAAAATTAAAGTATTATGAAATATTTCATTTTTGGCATAGTTTTACAACAGTTATCAAATCTTTAATTCCTGAAAAATCTTAGGAATTCGTATTTCAATGATCAAGCATTCGATCAAGAACTTTGTATAAATTAAATTCTTCGTGTTTTGAAATCGTTAAATATTATAACAATTTATAAACATTGTAGATTAATTTACTTTATAATTTTAATAAGTAATATTTAATCAGAGATTTTAGATTCTTTAAATTTTTTAAGTAAAAAATTTCACAGTTTTTTATTTTTTAAATATTAATAAATTAATTTACCCTGCTTCAAGTGTCTTGTTTATAGGGAAACGGGTACTAATTGTTATAATTTCAGCAATTTTTTACATAATTTTTTTTACTGCATTTGAAATATCGAAATTTTCGATAGTGGAACATCTTTTGATACTATATACTTTTTCAAATTAAATATCCATGTCTTATAAACTTAAAAATTTTGAATATTTGTAATTCTTTAAATGTATAAACTTGCCCTACAGCGAAGCAAGTTGTTACAGAGTCGGGGAAAACTATTACATCAGATTGTTTATATAAAAAACAGACATATAGGCAAAGTGTTAAAGGAGAAAAATTCTGTAACTTATCATATTTTTTAATGCATCATTGAAATGTTGTGAAATTGACTTTATTGATTTCTGCAGATGTTCTAAAATCATCATCAGATTTTCTTACCTTAACATCCTTTGTTGTTTTCTCATATACAGTACGTTTTCGTCTATTATTACGCTACTAGTTTTTTCTACTGTGTTCGTAGAACTCTTTAAAGATAGAACCGAAAACAATGACAGGTCCAAAGTGTCGAGTAAGTTACAATGTAACAATGTGCCTTTTTCGCGTGGTAGCAACTAGCTCCCGAAAGTGTCTTTTACTTTTAACCTAGTTCTGTTCGTAAACTAAGCAAACTGATCGGCAATAGCGTGAAATTAAAGATAAATAGTAATTACCAAACATGGACTGTACAATAATGGCGACATACTTTCAGACCTTCAATTCACGTGAAACACAACCAGAGGAAATTAATTTAAGAACATAAAATGACGTAGCCATTAGCTCACTTGCCATTAGAAACCTCAAACTTCGCGTGAAGTACGCTTGTTCAATATGCCAAGTGCTCTGTGGATAGTGGAGCGCTGCACCTAACTGAAAATGTTAAAAACACATCGTAACAACTAGTCCCAGTCTCCCCTAATCTCTAACGATTTTAAAAAATGAAGAATTCAATTTACACAAAGTTCTTGATTGAATGCTTGATTCATTAAAATACGAGTTTCTAAGATTTTTCACAACTCAAAGGTTTGATAGTTACTGATCGCTAGGAGATCGTCCCAAATTTAACATTGGCCTTTTCTTCTTTTGCCTTCATCACATATCTAATGACATGGAGCAGAATGAATTCACTTCGTTCTTTCATGCTATTTGTTTTATATACTATGTTTGTCCAATTCAAAGTCTCTTATCTAAGTTTAATTTTATATAGGGTATATATTTTAAATCTTAGCTATCCAACTTTTCAAGTCTCTCTTCTAATATTTTACTCTGTATGACCATATATTCTGCTTTATTTGATATTCGAATTTCTTTCATTTTCACGACATCCGAATCAACTCATTCTTCCTTTTATATTCTCTCTAAGATTTTTTTTAAGTCTAATTGCTTCATCCCTTATTTTTAGTATCTTTGATTATGATTACCAAATTTTTAAGTCAACTTTTCTTAAGCATTAATGACTTTAACTGCGTTAAGCTTTACAGTTGACCCCGCTATAACACTGTTGAATATTCCGTTTTATATGAATTCCATGTTGTACGAGTCACTTAGATTTTACAAATACGTGTGCCGGGCTGTGAACGGATACTATAACACTGTTGATTATTCTGTGCAACAGAATAATCAAAAGTGTTATAGGGGGGTCGACTGTAACTGTTTTTGTCTCTCTCTATGTATGAATATAGGAAATATCATTGTTTCACAAACTTTAATTTTATTTCGTGTCTTTCTTTCCCATATTTTTGAAAATTTTCTAAATGCTATTACTGATAAGCGTGTAATCCTATTTAATTCTTAATCATTTATTTTGATAATAATTTACTTTATTTGTTTATTAATATATAAAATTTTTGTTTTATCAAAGTTAATTTTTAATCCAAATTTTGGCACTTTTCTTTGATATTATTAGTTATCCTTTATAAATATCTTTCTGTGTTTGCCAAGAATGTTATAGCATCTGAAAATCCTAGGCTGCTTAACTTAATCCCATGCATCCCATGCACTTATTCTTGCCCTTTCGGTTTCTGCAGCTTTGGCTATTGCCATCTGTAATATTAAACTGAATAGATTTCGGGATAAATTATGACCTTCCTTGATTCCACCGGAACTTTTAAATTATGCCGTTAATTCTTGTATTTTTTTGATATTCACAGAATTTTTATAGATTTTTTTAAAATGTGTACACTATTTAGTACTCTACAGTCCTCAAGCGTTCTCTATAATGTTCTTTATTTTCAGTTAAAATCCTTCCTGAAATCTATGAAATTTATTTAGCATTTTTCATTAGGCCTATATTCGAATTATTTTTCAGTAATATCCCTAAAGTACTTGGTCTTTAATGTTACGTTTGTATCTCAAATCCACATACTCTTCTCTAAAAATTTTATTTTTACATATTATTTCATTCTTTCTTAAATTAACTTTTTGAAAACTCAACATAGTATACTTAAGACAATGACTCCTCTATAATTATTACAACTTGTTATGGTATTCTTTTTTAAATTCTTTTTTAAAACTGAACAATGATGGATTTAACTTAATCTTCGAATGTTATTTACCCTTTAAATACTTTTTATCTATTTGTTTATATAAGTAATTTTATTGAATTCCGCATAACTCTATTCCTTCACATATTGTTTCACTATCCATGTATTCTATACTATGGTCTGTTTATGAACTGGTTTATATTTTTCCTTTCATAAGTTATGGTGATGTTTTAGATATTCATTTGGCTTTTAGATTACTCACTATTAAGCATTATTATCTGGCATGCAACTGAAAATACATAACTGGCACAATTAAAATTATTTACATACAATACCCGTTTTGAGATATAGAATTGTAGCAGAAGTCAGTATATAGCTATGTGTGCACAATTTATTTCATCAATGAATGTATCATAAATCTTATATTAATTTTTTTTATTGTAACAACAAATATTATACATTATAAAGCCTTCTCTAATAGATATTTACTCTAGTTTTTTAATGTAATGCTACTTTAAAACAAGTAACTTGAGTAAATAAATTAATGTTAATTTATAGACTAATATAGAAGAAGAATAAACATAAGCATTTAGTTACTTATAAAATCGTATACTTATTTATAACGTTTTAAGAAAATAATTGCATTTTTAATTATTTTTATTATTTATCAAATTACCGGTACACAGATTTAAAATACAAAATTATGAGAATGTGTTTCAATCATTTGGATAACCTTTTAGAGTTAATATGTTTTCTAACAAAAATAAATAAATAAGTATTATTAATAAGTACTTTGTATATGCATTTATTTTAATTGGATATGGAGCCATACTTGTCCATTTTCATCATCACGCAATCCTCAGCAAATCGTTGATTACATAGCGCAACTTCCAAGATAGTCAGTCAGGATAGCGATTTTCAAAATTATTCTATGGACACAGTGACATTCTCGTCCTTTATTGTTGCGTCTGTATACTACATCCGATATAAATCTTGGTTGAAATTGCTGATAGGATGTTTTATTAGATAATTTATTACATTTTTAGCTGCAATAATTGTCATCAGATAATGTGCAAGGAATTTCATTTCTTTCGACTTCCAACTACAAAAATCGGACATTGGAATTCTATTATTTTTGATATAAACAACCACAAACAATCCCAATTTATGTGCAATACGTTTAATGTCAATTAATTTTACAGTCAACATTAATCATACGGATAAACAAACATATTTTTGTGGTTTGTAGCCGAAAATGTTATAATGTAATGCAATAATTTGTGAAAAAATATATATATTTTGTATACTTATGAACGCGAGATATCAGTACAGTAAATGTTACAATTTCGGTTGCAATTTCACCCATTGCATGCAGATTTGGTCTGCATGGAAATGGTTAACAATAGACGAGAAATGGGAAACAACGATATGAATTACACAGGAAAAATCTTGAAGATTCGGATCAGTTTTGGTTTGCCGCCTGTTGAGATTTTCTCTTGTTGTCTTAAGATAATATCTTACAGTACGGCAATCCTGTCGAAATCATAAATAACAGTGAATTTTTAATTAGAAATTGTATCAGGAATTTCATTTGTTCAAGGTGTTAACATACATACATACCAAAATTTCAATACTTTTTGAGAAGTCTTGCAAACTTATGAATTACGAATATATAATTATAAAAATTTTTTATACAAGAAATATAAAAACATCTACCGTATTTTAAAAAATAATATTTAATAAATAGAAAATGAATAAAATCTCATTCCTTTTAAAATAGCACAAATTAAGCTAATAAATAAATTGTGGTTACGTTTAAATATCTTTAATATTTAAATTAAGAAATGTCAATCATTTCTATAGATTATTGGTTATTATTTATTAGAAGTTGACGATGAGATATTTCATAAAGTTTTGTATTATCCGAAATTTCTAATCACGCAAGAGGAAAGTTAAACCCGTTAATGTGAAGGTGACAGATGTGTAAAAGAGAATTGATCCAATTTTATTACATCAAAGAATGTAACACTGTTGCAATTACGAAATACAAATATTTACAGAGACTAAGTTAGTTTTTAAATACGTAATGTATAAATTTTTTTTCTTTTGAATTATTTAAAAAGTTAATATAAAAAAAAAAAAAACAAATCTAAAATGAAAACGATTAAAAATTTAGTTTTAAAAAAGTATAGATCAATGAAATTGCTACAAGATAATATCAAAGCAATTATAAATAAACATTTTTGTTTAAAAGATAGTATTGATATATTATTAGAAATAAGTTTCTGTCTATAGATCAAATACAACAGTACAATATTACTTCGGAATGAGAATTAGTTGTTAATACAGTTAATTCGCATGTTCCGGTATACACCACATCAATAGGATTATTAATATGATGTATGCTGGAACATTAAGGCATCTAATTCACATTCCGAAATAATATTGTACTGTTGTATTAGATCTAATAATGTGAACTGAAAAATGGAATAAATATAACATACTGCTTACAATGCTTATATTGTATATATTGTTTATTAAGATATTTAAATAATTCATAAATACTTTGAAGATATTATTTCTTGTTTAATATTTTAAAAAATTCAGCAACGAGTTGCTTAACTTTCCCGGCAACATTAAAAATTGCTCGTGATGTTATTTATTATAAAAAATTTATTTTAAATTAAATATCATATTTTTAATTACAGTATTATTATTAATAGCAAACAGCTTAAATTTGAGGGTCGGGATGGGTTTTGGTAAAAATTTGCAAATGCTAATAACGAGTAAAATCGTCATTAAGTCCGATCCTACTCGAGTTATGACATATGATCCTTCCACCTTTAATGAACAAAATTTAATAACATCTATCTCCCTAATACAGAAAATACCTGAAAAATTTCAGAAAATTTCAACAAAACGCACAAGTTATTAAGCTTCAAAAAAGCTGAACAAAATCATGCACCAAATAACCTACTAACATCTATATATACATTTTAAAAAAACCCTGAATTTTTTTCTTTTTGGCTTTTCTCGACATTTCAAGTCCTCTGAATCTGAAAACGTAAAAATCTTGGGGGGATAATTTTTTGACAAGATCGCTATACTTTCCCTCTGTTAAATAACAGAGCCTGAAAGTAAAATTCGTACAGCATTATAATATTCATTAAGTTTTACTTTATATAATATTGATTATTGTACGATATCGTACGTTTACGTTGTTTGATACAAGCAAATAACAAAATTCTGAGTAAAGTTAGTCACATTAAATAAACTCAGCAAATCAATTTTTTCCTTAATGCAGAAGCGGTTGTAAGAAAGTCGACCGTCTAAGTTCTGTACTTTAAGTTAAATATACATAACTTAATTAATAAGTATAATAGTTATTTAATAATATATTTATGTACAGAATGTCCCAAAAGTCACGATACATAGGCAGTGCCGTAGATAGTTTGCATGGGTATGGGGATAGGGCGGTCCCATTTTGCTATTATGTCGTTCTGAATAAATGAAATATGTAGATTTCTTTATTAATAAAAAATTTAAAAATTAAGTTTTCTTAATAGCAAAATAAATAAAATCTTTAAAAATAAAGTTTTAAAGTTTTAATTAATTAATTATATAGTGAAAACAACATTAAATTATACGGAGAGGAACAAGTACCGCCTCCTAAGTTTTCTCCGGATCCGAGGAAAAATCCCCAGCTCCTTCCTCTCGAAGACACTTGAACTTACTAAATTGGATAATTAGTTTCCAGATTCGTGAATCGTCGTCGTGTCCGTGGAGTGGCCTATAAGGCTTTAACCCTCTTGATTTTTACTTGTGGGACACTTTGGTTTACCAGTACAGATTCAAAGCACGAATCACATAAAAGAACCTATAAAAAGTTCATTTATGCGCATAATATCTGATATCTTAACACAAATTCAGCTTAAGTGGGAGAGATACATCTGTACTGTACGTGTTTAGAAAGAAAATAAATAGTTTTATAAATAAAGCCACATGTTTCTAATAAGTGTTAAACTATCATAAGTGTATCATAAGTTTTGGAACACTATATTACTGTATATTGATTATAAACCAGTATTGACATCTAAATAAATTATTTAAAATCTTGTTATTTTAAATTTAAATGGCGCTTCCATTATTTAAATATATCATTATCGATTGTTTTAAGGTGCGACAGAAAAAATTTAGAAAAAAATGCAAAATTTTCTAATTTACTTGAAAATTTAAAATTTCTCTAATCTTTAATTTATTATGATTTATTATTTTACAAATATTAATGTATGAATAACACAATATAATAACTGATTTGATTGTTGTGCACTTCACTATTAAGAAAATAAAATAAAGTGAGATAAAAGTAAAATAACTGATATTTTAATTTAGAAACACAATGTTCAAACACTTTATAAAAGTATTTGAACATTGTGTTGCTAAGGTAACTGTTACCAAGCAATATTATTCGCTCTTGCTCACTAGATTTTTCAAACTGCACACGACTTTTTCCACTTTATTCGGCATATTTAATCAAACTTTAAGAAAAATGGGAAAAGCACCTAAACTGAACGAAAATGAAAAGAGAAAAATTACGTTTGTTAAATCAGATTTATCCGTGACTGTAACTGCAAAGAAATTGAATAGATCAAGGAAAGTTATTCACAGTTACTTAAATTTAAGAGAAATTCACCTGGTAGATCTAAGGTGCTTACTAACAAAAGAATAATTCCAAAGGAAACAGATTGAGTCTACTTGTACAAATAACATTAAGGTATCCCGGTACATGGTTGGAAAGTGGTAAAGAACAGTAAATGTCTGACGTTAAAAGAAAAGGACAACCAGAGTTTATTAAAGATAAAATGGCAGCAAGAATAGCTTTGGCAGAAGAGCACATTTCGTGGAGAGGAGAATGGGAATCTGAAAGAATAGTATTCAGTAACGAAAATAAATTTAATTTAGACGGCCCTGTCTTGGTAGATTATAGTACTATTAGTACGATCTTCAAAAGGAACCTAAAATATTTTCTTTATGCCAGCAAACTAATGAATCGATTATGATATGGCTGGTTTTGGCTATGATAACAGGACCACATTGTGTTCAAATACGTGGTATAATGAACCAACACAACTACCAAGACATGGAGAAGCTTTCCTTTAGAGAGAATATAAGACTCAGGGTAAGTAACATTTTTAGGTTTGCGTGCTAGAATCCCGAATCTACAATGCAAAATTTTCTCACGTATCAGCCGAAATTTTTGAGAGCATATTATTATTTGTTCTAGCGGCTAGATAATGCTACAGGAAAGCTAGATTTAGCAGATTTTTTTCTAAATTGACAAATACTATTAAGTTAAAATATAGAACTCAGCGAAAATGTTGGATATTTATTTTTTAAGGTGATTTCATGCTGGAAAAATTCATTGGCGTGCCACGTTTGGCACGCATGAAAAGGGCATGCATTTTCTATTTGGAAACTGCAATAAGATGATGCTACTCCAACACTGCCAGATCTACTTGAGAGTTCTTTTTGGAAAATAGAATCCAAGTAATTCTATGCTCTCCAGAATACAACCCGATAGAAAATGTTTGGAGAGTATTACCAGTAGCAAGAAAAGCATATGCTATTCGGAATCAGTAGTCCAGTTGAAGACTTAAAACGAGTAATCATCGAAAATTGGGAAGAAATTAACAAACTCTATCTCAAAGACCTAGTTAAAACAATGCCTGAATTTGAGGTTATAAACAGAAATGGGAGTTTGATAAGATATTAGTTTTCAAAAAGAATTATCGAATTGAGTATTTTATACATTGTTTCTAAATTTCTGAGAAGTAAAACAGATAACATTCAGTGAAAAATAAAATAAATTAGGGATAAAAAATTTCACATTTTCAAGTAAATTAGAAAATTTAGATTGTTTTTACACTTTTCTGTTGCAGGTTATATTTATTAAACCTACTTTTATCTATTGTTAGATGCATTATTTCGTTATCTCGTTGAAAACAAAAGAGAAATTTTATTTTCTGTATACCTATTTCATCTATTCTTTATAGCTCACATAAATCCATCAGTTTAGACTACTTAGAATTTTTTAAAATTAATTAGTTTAACAAATACTTTCTGCAATATTCATTAAATATTAATATGACATCAAGGAAAAATGCATTTTAAAAGAGACTTGATAAAAGTTTTATAGAATGGTCAATATTATAAATATAATCGATTATCACAATAGGTATAAAACAAAATTTACAAAAAATATAAATATATTTTATTTTTATGTGGTAAAACAAATTTTTAACTTATATAGACTAAATTTAATAATGGACACTAATTGCATAAAATGTAGTTAACTGAATAGTTAACCAGTATAAAAGGCAATGTAATTTAATTACTAGTTAACTATATAGTTATATAAGTACTTCGTTTTTATGATAGTAGTTAAAACTACTAGTTAACTACATTTAAACTATTCATAAATAGAAAAAAATAAAACATTAGATTAAAACGACAGTTCTGTTTGTATTCCATTCTTATTATTTAATATTTTTCTTTTTTCTTTTTAACTGATGTCTCAGAATACAAGTTTTTCAAATTTTTCATCCGATATTCTTCGTTGTCTAGATGTTAAAATTTGTCCTGACAAGAAAATAGATGTTATACTGCAGCAATACTGACGAGTATAGTGCTGAATTTTAAAAATCATTCTTTACGTGCCTGTAATTTCGTAACATACTCAACTATGATTTGATTTGATTGACGGTTTAATAAAATGCAACACTTGGGTGATCGGCCAAAGAGAAAGTGCCTCTTAGTGGGATTTTTATAGGAAACTGGCCTTAATACAGGTAAAGAAAACCTGGGAAATTCCACGCGGCCAGCATGCTGGCAATGCGCGAATTTGAGAACAGTGGTTTTACTACTAGTGAACCACACTCAAATTAACATTGCTGTTTTCTGAATTTCTAATTTACATGAAAATTACTGTCAACCATTTTAACGTAAGGATGGCGTAATAAGTATTGATAATAACATGATGAACAAAACAAAATAAAAATATACTTTCATAAAAAGCCATATATTATCTTACATATGTACAGTACAAAGCAAAACGTAGCTATATCTAATGATTGTTTTTTTTTTTTTTACTTTTATCAACAAGCAAGATAAAAATTTCAAACGCTACAATTTCTCAAAATGAGTAAAACCGTTAAACGATTTTCATAAAAATTAAGACGTGTTCGTTCTGCTTTATACAATGGATTACATCAAGGCAGTATTAAGGAATTAACAAGGGAATTAAAATGAAAACTAGTTAGAATAGTTGAAATCAAGCATACAGCAGTTTAATTACTAAATTGAGCAGCAATTGTAACTAGTAGTTAACTATGTAGTTTAATCACATTAGTAGTTAATTAATGCCCATATGTATATATATATATAGTAAAACTTTTTATGATTATCAAACATGTCGCACTAATATGAAAATAAATCACTGCTACATATTTATTTTGCAAGTTGGAATTTGTGTTATTTTGACCATTTTGAAGTGGAACTTTTAAGTCAAAACGGCCGAAAGGAAAAAATAACACACAAAAACTTCATATCACAATCAGTACACTAAAAGATTTTGAGAAAATCGAACGATAAAAACACTATCATAAATATATCTCGTATAAGAGAATAGTGACAAAATATGTTTCAGAAAATATTTCTTAAAAGACAAGACTATATATATAAAGTATAAAGCATTTATATAAATAATCAGATTCAAATTAAGTTAGAATATAAAAATAATTAAATAAATCAAGTAAGTCTTAGTTTGCTTAAGTAATCATTAACATAAAATATCTTCAGAATGTTTACAGAATAATTAACAAAAGTTGAAAATATTTTCTCTAAATTTATTTATAAATTCTCATTTTTGCTAATAGCAACCTATATATTTTTATTCTATAACTATTTTATTATTTTTAGATTACAAGAATAAAATGAATAAATTAAGAAAGATTGAGAATTTTGTCACGATTAATAGCAAAAATTTTAACTTAGAAACTTTCAATTTAAGAGAGAAAGATATTACTAGATCTTTTTATTTTAACTTATTTTGATTTAATTTTAATAAATAATAGCTTCATAACAATATCATCGAACATGTACATATTTCTAAAAATGTTAAGGAAAATTTTATTTATTCTAATATTTTAGAAGTTTTAAATTGATATTTAATCCTATACGTAGCATAATTCTATGGCTCACAAATAGCTCAAATACCGTATTTATTCTCTACAATAAAGCATTATTTTAATCAATTCAGCAGTTTCACATTGAATATTATTAATTGTATTGAATTTCCTAATATGTTTAGTCATTTTTGCTGTCTTTTAGAATTCTTATTCTAAATCATGGCATATTTAAAACTTTATTAAAGGCAATATACTGTTATTAATAAAATATATAAATTATCTCAACTTTCTCATTGACCTAGAAAATAATTTTGTTTGCTCTGTGTTACAATTGTTTTATTTTTAATTTTACGTTAGAACTAGTTAGTACCCAGCTTTTTCTCCGGAAAATGATATATTAAGTAAGAGTAACGTACTCATATAAAAGTATACATGTATATAAATGTATACACGGAAAAATAATATTTACTTATAATAAACTTATAATAGATCCGACGAAACACAACTTTACATCGATAAAAATTTCAGGGTCTCACTGACAATCTGAGACAGGTGAAAATAGCAATGGTAATACATTCAGTACCGTATACATTCTGCTGAAATAACAGGCTGAAATGAAATAAGAATTTGCTTAATAAAGTAAAACTGACAGTATTAATATAAAGCTTAATAGAAAGATTTAAGAATATCAGAAAAATTAGAAAAAATGTAATAAAATAATGTTGGAAAAACTGTCTAAAGTAATAACGCTTATTTAGAAACCTACTAAGAAACGAAGTAAAAATCGTCTCAAAACGGATTATTTAAAAAAATTTTTTTTAGATGGAAAGACTTTTAATAGGGTAAAATTTTATAAATCTATAACGTAAAATACAGTCGTTAATCACACCATTTATTTAGTTTTTCATTTTTTAAAATTTATTAGAAAAAATAAAAAGGAAAGATTTATTTTCTGTAAAATAAATTTTCGATTTTTGTGGCCATTTCTTGATACTACAAATTTTCTAGAACAATTTTGTTATATTCTGTCAATATCGATCTACAGCAGTAATATTATGATAAATTACATTATATATATGTATATAGGCCTATATAAACAAAACTATCGTTTCGAAATAAAAATACTTAAAATCATAAATTTGTTTCTAATTACAATTCAACTATTTATAGCAATGGTATAATGAGAGGTCTACGCTCCCACCAACGTACTTTGGTAGTCTTTCTCAGTTTGTAGGTAGAGAAACATCTCTTAACTAATAAAAACCTAAGTTAAATCATATAAAGAACATCTTTAATAAAGAGAACAAATAAGCTTATTGTTAATATTTTCAACAATGGTATATAAAAATAAACTAAATCGTATTCAGTTATTTGATTTTGTTATTTATTTGTAAATTCCATTGTTGAAAATATTAAAAAATATATATATATACCTATATATATTATACACATTTCAGGNTATATAACTTATTTATAATCAGTTATTTGAAATAATATTTACAAAATTAGACATTTTTTTATAACTGGTTTACCTGATTTTCATTTATCACTTATGTCTGTTGTGAGAGTTATAAAAATAAAAATAAGTTACGGTATTTGATTTAATTGAAATTTATTCATTAAATTTTCAAAATAAAGCGATTTTGTAATAAAATATTCTTTAATATAAAAACATAATTAAAAATAAATAACTGTAATTTCAATTACATGTATAAAGATACTGACTTATACATAAATTTATTAATATTTTAATTAAAAAACACACAGATATAATTAAAATATTGTTAAATCCAAAAAGGCAATATATAAAACCAAGTATGTTTGAGAATTTATCCATTATTAATGAATAAAATTACTCTCATTAAATCATTGTACAAGTTATCTTAACGTTTTCGCTGGATGATATCAAGGTCGAATTGTGAATCGATACACTGTTGCTTAGTTAAGTAAATCTACATTTCCTCTTTTAGTAAATGGAACTAACTCAGTTTTTAAAATATGTAGCTTAGCTCTAACAATATCAAAAAATAATAAAAATTTTAAAAGGAATTCTTGCTATGTGGTTTAAGTATAGTTTCATACATTTTTAAAATTTCATTCAAGGATTGAATAACGGATACCTCAACTTGAATTCGTGCAGATATAAAGTTGATATTATTTAAATCTTAAAATTATTCATTATTAAACACGAGGTCACCGCTTATCGTTTTTTAATAAGATCAGTATTATTATAAATTTATAATTAAGTTTAAATATTATTTAATTTAAAATTATATATTGTAATAATGACATTTTAGTAATGCTATTATTTATTTATAATTTGAGACTTTTTAATGAGTTTATGAAGTAATTGGTATAATTTCCGATTAATTTTGTATTGTTACTAATATTTCCACCATATGTGATTAATTATGACGAAGTTATTCTAATTATTAATATTAAAATAAAAGTATTTAAAGTTGGATTAATTTTTCTTTTGCAGTTTATTTCCATTCTTTTTTGAATGTAGCTTGTGAATTATTCATTACTCGTATATTTGCTATTTTTAAACTGTTTTGTAAATTTAAATTTCCTTATTTTAAATAAATAATTTCACAGTCGATATGCTCAATTAATTATACATTGAATTATTTCTTATTGAAATTCATGCATAATTTTAATTTTGCATCCAGTTTAAAATATCATGATTGACATTATATATTAAATGGATAGAGTGTAATTAAACAATTATTTATATTTATTTTAAATTTAAAGTTTTCCATATGCTATTTTATTAAAAACTAAAATTTTTCAATTACATTGAGCATTTCTTACGTATACCACTTCGACTGTGTTATCACAATATTGCATAAATATTAATATGCATTAGCATGTAAGTAATTTGATATACCCGTACTACTACTTCATTCACTACTTTATAAGTTTACATATTAATATTTGAAATTAAATTATCTCTTCAAAATATATGGAAAAATTAAATTACCAAAACATAAAGCTAACAATTTTAATAAGGTTTTAATTATACAGTATATGTATATTTATTGTAATGTATATAAGTATTTTACCAATATATATATATAATAACTTTAGTCATATTTAGTCTATAGAGTGTTTTTAATCTTCATGGTATTTATCATCATCTATCAACATTTATTAATTTTTTCTTTGGATAAATTTTCTATTATCATATTAAATTTTTAATGATATTTATAATTATTAAAACATTTTATTCTGCCGTAAATAGATACTTAATTAATTTTTGCTGAGAATTTTTTCAACAAAAACTAATTGTTCCTTGTTATCTGAATAGTGTAATAATGAAATATTTGAAAATAACAGTTTATATTGATTTTACAATCCCATTTTTTTGGAAAATGATTGTATTGTAACACTTAAATATATATATATATGCAAAGCCAATTTAACAGCATCACATCAAACAGAATCTAGAAAAAACAGCCTGTGAAATCAAGAAACGGTTATTTCGAATATTTGATTACCATTTGATTAAACGAACAATGAGGAGCAATTTCATGTTAACAGGAACAATTGATTAAAAATTTTTTATTGTCAGAAAAAAATGTTCAATAATTATAAATGCCATCAAAGTTTCCTCCGAGTATTCATTTGAATTAAGTATTAATACATTTTAATTGAAAATCATTAAAATGTAAGTAGAATAAAGTTTGTACAATTTGAAACACTCGTTAATACATTATTATTATTTATCATATTTACAGTTATAGGCTTATATTTAATAGAGATGAAAATATCCAAAATTAATCGACTAGATTTAATTAAAATAAATCACATTAACACAGTTATTAAACATAAGTAAACAAGATAAACAGAAATATAAAATTATTTAAATATATGTAAGCAATTAGAAAAGATAAATTTTTATATGTAATATTAAATGTTTCATTACCGTTTTACATTAAGTAATGTAAATAAAAGATTATATTATAAATTAAATAAAAGCTAAAAATTTATAATATGCAATTCTCTTCTACATAATAGATAAATAATTATTCAAGATTTATTTAAAATTGTAAAATATTTAATATTTATAAGGAGGATTCATCCAAAATATGTTATTAGAAGTTTTTAACATTTGTAATTGTTAAACGTCAAACAATTTAACACCATAAAATCAGTGGTGCGTTATGGGCAAAAAAAAGAGCAATTGCCTGGGGTGGAATTTTATTAAAAAAATATTTCCTTCAAAAATTTCCCTCAAAGAAAAATGCCTGAAGTCAACACCGTACATGCAGCCCCCTAATTCAAATTTGTTGGGCTTCATGAACTTATAACGTGCCACTGCATAAAATTTTTATAACTTCATTCCATTAAACTACAAGTTTCATCAAAATTTGCATATTCGGTATGAAGCTTCTAAAATTTTACTTGTAAGCTATATCATTAGTTTCAGCATTTATGCTGTTTTAAAAAGTTTTTGACATGTGATGCTCAAAAAAACATTAATGTATTAGAAAATATTATATTATAAACTTCAGTTTATAATTTACACGTTTTGAACTTCGTTGATTAAAGTTGATTTTTTTTGTCGCAATTTCCGTATCGAATTGTGATTAAAAACGGACATTTCAAGTCGAAAATATTTTATTTACAAGGTGTGCGAAGTGCAATGAAGGAAAATTACATCCAGTCTGAAGATTATCATTTTAATCTATGTAAGAGTTCTTCGGTAATAAAAGTTCGATTGCTTCATCTCGTTATTATAAGTTGTCACATCCAACAGAAGGATGACAGAAATATAAGTATCCGGGTCTCTGATGTTAATCATAGATTATTTCTAAACAGAATGAGATCTAAAATTTCGTAATTTTATGACGTTAGTTTAGTTCAAAATTACAAAATTTCATTGAAGTATAAAAATATTATTTACGTCATGAAATTTTCAAAAGTATCTATAAACATGTAAAATGATACAAGTAGTCCAGTAGACATCCAGATTACAAACAAGGATTTAAATTTTGATAGTTTTCAGAATATTTTGATATAAAGAAAAGTTTTGTAACATGATATTCAATAATAAATAAGTTACATAAAAATTTAAAGTAAATTTTTATCCTATTTATCTTCAATAAACTGTTATAGTAGGGCTACAGTAAGATGTGTAGTTTAATATATAAATATTCAGTCATTTCGTAATTATTTTATTTGGTATTTGAATTATTAAATAAATTGCCTTAACAACGAATTTCAATAAATTATAATTTATGTAACTGATCTAATTTTTCTCACAGGAATATATTTAGTTTACTACAATGAAGTTCATTAAGTTAATGGGATCATGGGTCATTTTGATCTTATTTGTTTCCAGAATTAAATTTCTTTTAACGAGCAATAAAAATTATTATAACGTACTTTATATAATATCAGATCTAACAATAAAACTTCTTATCTTAGAATGCTTTTATAGTTATTCTACTTATCTTAAGACAAAAGTTTAAATTCTAGATTATTAACAAAATCAAATTACTTGTCTGGCTGTTATATAAAAGTATGACGATAGGTCAAAAAATGTCTCCAAGATTTTTACATTCAATGTCTTATGACACCTTGAAACGTCAAGAAATGCAAAAGTCCTGGGATGAATGGATGTTTGTGTGTGAGGGGCATAATTTTGTTTATCTTTTTGAAGTTTAACTCCTGTGCTTTTTGTCGAAAATTTCTAATATTTTACAGGGAGGTTTGTTTCTTAGGAGGATTGACGCTATTAAATTTTGGTGATTAAAGGTCGAGGGGATGAGGAGATAATGAAATTTCTGTGTATCTCCAGTAGGGTAGGACTTAATGACTATTTTACTCATTATTAGCATTTACAATTTTTATAAAACCCATCCCTACCCTCAAAATTAAGGTTTTTTCATTTTATAATAGTTAAAAATATAAAAAGTTTTTAAATAAAATATAATAATAGATGGCGCACCAAAATTTTAAATGTTGCCGGGAAAGTTGAGCAACTCGTTGTTGGTTTATTTTAGAATTTTTCAGAAATTACAAAGGTATGGAAAAAAACGTTGATATAGAAGTAATTACTTTAATTGTTTTTTTTTATTATTTTAATGTTATTTAAGTTCAGAATGTAATTTTCAAATTAAACTACATGTGAGCTATTTGTAAATTATTAATTAAAATTTAAATAACCAAGAAAATTCTCATCTCTCCCGCTGATCAATAATAATAAATATCTTATTGTAATAATATTTTCAGTAATCTTTTCTGGAATGTTATTCTATTGTGTAGGAAATATTAAAGTTTTTTATGATTATGAATTTTTTTAAT